AAAAAAAAAAAAAAAAAAAAAAAAAAAGATCATTTTAGGAACTTAAGATCAAATTCAATACCAAAAGCTCAAAATCTTTCAGTTTAGTTCTCGAGAAATGGCTAGTCATATGGCATCTTCCCTCATATTCTTGCTCAAAACTTCAGATTCATCCTTGGCGCTCACCCCATGTTAACTGGAGCTCTGTCCAGCCCCCTGTTTATACTGGAATACTTTGCTTGCCCTACTTTACTTGTGTGTGTCTGTCCCATTGTGGATGTTCATAAAGTCCTCCTGTCTCCCCTGAGACTAAACTTGGGGACAGCAGGAATTGCAGTCTTTACTTCCTCTCCGTCTTCCCCATGAGCCCATCGACGTGTCTGTCAGCACACAGAAGTGCGTAACTGCTGTCACTGAGTGTATTTCTGACCTTCCAATTTGCTGCAACGTTCTTCCAATGTCAACACTTTCTGCCGATCCTCTTCCCATGAAAGCAGTTGTTGCTGGTGCACTGCAACCATATCATTGAGCTCTTTATCTCGATCTTTCAGCTCTCCAATGAGCAACTGCAGCTCCTTCCGTTGTTTCTCAATAGTGGAAATCTCAACTTCTGACCCGATGTTCTAAACATAGAAAGCGGTTTCACATCAAAATAGAATGAAATCAATAACAAATCAGCCAAGGTCCACTTTCCAAATAAGTATATCTTCTTTTGCTGCCAATTCTAAGTAGTCCAATTAAGTTTTTTTTTTTGAGACAGAGTTTAGCTCCATTGCCAGGTGCCAGGCTGGAGTGCAGTGGCTCGATCTCGGCTGACTGCAACCTTCGCCTCCTGGGTTCAAGCAATTCTCCTGCCTCAGCCTCCTGAGTACCTGGGACTACGGGCATGCACCACCACGCCCAGCTAATTTTTGTATTTTTTAGTACAGACAGGGTTTCACCATGTTAGCCAGGATGGTCTCGCTCCCTTGACCTCATGATCCGCCCGCTTTGGCCTCCCAAAGTGCTGGGATTACAGGTGTGAGCCACCATGCCCGGCCTCAATTAAGTTTTAAGTTAATAACATGGCATCAAAAGATTATGTATACTTAAAACATGCTCAAGTTAAGACCTACCATGCACTCTACTTCTCTACAATTTTCTGTCACGCCACACATACCATGCTTAAAAAGTGGGACTACTTCTAAAACCCAATGGGTAAGCAAATAAACCTATTTCTGCACTTTTTCACCCTTTGCCAAAAACGCTTTTCTCTGCCAATCAGTAACATTATCCCCCACCTTGCCCCAGCAATTACAGTAACCAAGTACAGGTAAACATGCAATAGTGGCCAGGCGTGGTGGCTTACGCCTGTAATCCCAGCACTTTGGGAGGTCAAGGTGGGCGGATCACCTGAGGTCAGGAGTTTGAGACCAGCCTGGCCAACATGGTGGAACCCCGTCTCTACCAAAAATACAAAAATTAGTTCAGTGCCTGTAATCCCAGCTACTTGGGAGGCTGAGGAAGGAGAATTCTTGAACCCAGGAGGTGGAAGTTGCAGTGAGCCGAGATAGTGCAACTGTACTCCAACCTAGGTAACAAGAGCGAAATTCCATCTCAAAAGAAAAAAAAAAAAAAACATGAAATAGTTACTGTGTAAATGTTAATGATTCTTACTACAGAACAGGAATTTTAAGCCGGGCACGGTGGCTCATGCCTGTAATCCTAGCATTTTGGGAGTCCGAGGTGGGCAGATCACAAGGTCACAAGATCGAGACCATCGTGGACCACATGGTGAAACCCCATCTCTACTAAAAATACAAAAATTAGACGGGCGTGGTGGCACACGCCTGTAGTCCCAGCTACTCAGGTGGCTGAAGCAGGACAATTGCTTGAACCCAGGAGGCGGAGACTGCAGTAAGCTGAGATCATGCCACTGGCACTCCAGCCTGGGCAACAGAGCGAGACTGTGTCTCAAAAAAAAAAAAAAACAGAATGAAACAAAAAAAAAAAGGAATTTTAGTCTATAAAAAGAAAATTATAGAGTTCAATATTTATGACAACTACAACATCTAAGGCATCTATATCTATTCAATCAATCAAGGACAATTTAATATTGCAAATTGTCCAAATATAACATACCTAATTAAAAGTCAAATTCCATAAGTAAATTTTTCACGTGTACCCAAAGACAATAGTGCAATAAACTCCCGTATACTCAGCACCTAGGTTCTACCATTATCAAGATTTTGCTACAGCTGCTTCAATTTCCTTTTCTTTTCATTATCGATGAAAAAGTACCATTTCACCCTTACATACTTCCGTATGATCTCTAAAAATGAATATTTCTTACATAACCATGACACCATTTTTATACCTAACACTATTATCTATTAAAACAATAATTCCTTTTAAGTATACAGCATTTTAAAGTCTAGTGCACTAAAGCTGGTCTGACCAAATTGTGATCCCAGAATTCGCCAGCTAATGGCTACATAACCTTGGGCAAGTTACTTAACTTCTCTAAACATTAGTTTCCTCACCCGTAAAATGATAGCAACAGCATTTTTTTTTAAAGATGGAGTCTTGCTCTGTCACCCAGGCTGGAGTGCAGCGGCACGATCTCGGCTCACTGCAACCTCTGTCTCCCAGGTTCAAGCGATTCTCCTGCCTCAGCCTTCCGAGTAGCTGGGATTACAGGCACCTGCCACCATGCCTGGCTAATTTTTTGTATTTTTAGTAGAGATGGGGTTTCCCCATGTTGGCCAGGCTGGTCTCGAACTCCCCTGATCTTGTGATTCACCCACCTCTGCCTCCCAAAGTGCTGGGATTACAGGCATGAACCACCACACCCTGGCCTGCAACAGCTTTTTAACGTCTTGGAGTGGAGAAAATTAAACAAGACAAAATCTGTAAAGTACTGAGCACAAAGCCTGGCCCGCTCAACAAACAACAACTCTCATTAACACAGTAAACCACATTTCAAATCATGGTGCTGTCCCTGCCCATGAAATAAAGATGGTACTTTAATAGGGTTCCACCTTAAAGACAGTACTTAAAGCTTCACCAGAGGCCCTCTGTACCTCCTTACTGCTTTTTGAAAAATAAGATTTGTAAATAAACAAGAATGAGGTTGGGCACAGTGGCTCATGCCTGCAATCCCAGCGCTGTGAGAGGTGGTGGTGGGCAGATCACTTGAGGTTGGGAGTTCCACACCAGCCTGGCTAACATGGTGTAACCCCATCTCTACTAAAAATACAAAAATCAGCTCGGAATGGTGGTGGGCGCCTGTAGTCCCAGCTATTAGGAAGGCTGAGGCAGGAGGATCACTTGAACCCGGGAGGTGGAGGTTGCAGTGAGCCGACATTGCGCCACTGCACTCCAGCCCTGGGGACAGAGCCAAACCCTGTCTCAAAAATACATAAAGAAACAAGAATGATGATAAATTACAGTTACTAGTTTTTGTTTTTGTTGTTTTTGAGACGGAGTCTCACTCTGTTGCCCAGACTGGAGTACAGTGGTGCGATCTCGGCTCACTGCAACCTCAGCCCCCCGGGTTCAAGTGATTCTCCTGCCCCAGCCTCCAGAGTAGATGGGATTACAGGCGCCTGCTACCGCGCCTGACTAATTTTTGTATTTTTAGTAGAGACGGGGTTTTGCCATCTTGGCCAGGCTGGTCTTGAACTCCTGACCTTGTGATCTGCCCACCTCGGCCTCCCAAAGTGCTGGGATTACAGGCATGAGCCACCGCGCCCGACCTAGTACTAGTCTTAACACGGAAAATGAAATTTGGAGTCAAGGGATTTCAAGTCTCAAAGCTTGAATTCCAGTGTTGGGTTAGCCCCTCATTCATTCATTCATTCAAAAAAATTTATTGAGCGCCAGTGGCTGGGCCCCAGCACACTGCTGACAAAACGCGCGCCTTGAGTGAAGAGCCCTTCCAAACAGGCTTTGTGTGAGCAACATGGCTGTTTATTCACCTGGGTGCAGGTGGGCTAAGGCGGAAAAGGGCATTAGCAAAGGGCAGTGGGATAGGAGTTGGTTTTATAGATTTGGGTAGTTTTTTGGGGGCGGGGGTGTTGCAGAGTAAGTTAAATTACAGTGGTGGGGGTAGGGGCAAGGAGTATACAAGCTCAGTTACAATGGCAGAGTTGGGTGAGAGGTATTTACATTAACATAAGAACAGTTAAGATGGCAGGGTTGGGTGAGGGGCTTGTGGGGAAGCTCCGCTGGGCGATCAGCGACAATGGCGAACGCAGGCAGCGGGTGGGAGACTTCAGCCGAGGCGAGCAGGACTTCAGACTTGCAGGCTCCAGGCTTGCCTATGGAGACCCGACACACGCCAGGCAAGGAGCACATACTCCACGCCAGGAAAGCGGGCAGCAAGCCGAGTATCCAAAGGCAGGTCGTCTTACACTGACGGACGCGACCCTGGGGCAAGCCCACTTCCAGACTTTTCTGTACAGCGGAGCTGTGAGAGAGTTCCTTCCTCCACTCGCCAGGGTGTGTAAATTAAGGACAGCCAGCGAGGTGTGTGGGACAGCAGCTCCCCAGACGCCAATCGTCCTCCTTAAACAGTAAGCACCGGGTACGCGCCACTCTCTGGCCTGTACTAAATAACAAGGTGTTACTGGGTTAAGGAAACGGTCGACGCTGTTTTCCTCTGTGTACAGTGTATTGTTTCACATTTTAAGCAGACACCGTTCTTGAGAAGCAACCTAGATTTCAGCCAATGTGCACCGTTCCCGCGGCGCCCCGCCGCGCCGGGGAGGAACCGCCGCTCACCTGGCGCCCGACGAGGAAGGCGGCCGAAGGGTTCATAGGGGTTTCCTCCGCCCGCGGAGAAGGCCGGTGTGGACGGCGTCACCTTAGAAACGCCATCGGTGCGCCGGCCCCGAGCGGCTGGGGCGAGCCCGGAGGCCTGGAGCCCCGCGCCCCCGGCCGGGCCCCGCCCCGCACCCCAACCGTCTGCCCGGCGCCCACGCGGCGAGAGCCCGCCAGGGCTCAGGGCTCCCCCCAGGGTTTCCGGGCCGCAGCCCCACCACGCTGGTGGGCACTGTTCTTCCACCTCGGAGACTGGGGGCTCCCAACTGGCCCAGGCTGAGTACGGACGCTTTTTGTCCACGCCCGAGGCTCCGGCGCTGGAAGGCCTGGAAGAACTGGCTGCTCACCATTACCCAGGGAGTGAAGAAGCGAATAGAGGCTGTTGCGCCGCCCCAGCATCCTGGTTTATGGCATTTGAGTTGCTCACTTCCGTATCTAGCATCTTCCCCCTAATAACCGTGAGCTCGGCGGTGCTCGCTCCTGTGTACCTGACTCTAAGAACAGGACCTGACACTCGCATGTGTGGAGGCAGAGCCCAGCCCTCAGGGATAACAGTTCCGAGCCACTCTAGCACCTTTGATACAGTACTTTAAACCAAGAATCGCAGATAAAGAGAGAGAAATTTATTTTGGGGGGCTCCTGAAAAGCAATGAGAACCATGGTACTTTCTCATGACAAAATCTACCATATTCTGGGTTCAGTCTAAGCTTTTTCACCTGTCCTTCCATAGTCAAACCTCTTCAACCATCTTTCACTCTTCCTAAGACGTGGGAACTGGACTAGGAAAAAATAAGGCTTATCACACTTCAGCCCTGGCTGCCCATCCCTGACTGCTTAACCCATTAGACAGCAAGATAAGTTACCAAATACGGTCTTACAGGGTTTTAACTTTACTTTGTGGTTGAATATGAAATAGCAAAACATGGCCTTGTGTTCAAAAAAGACAATCTGAAAATGGAAAAACAAAATTAAGGTTTCTTACTTTGAAGCTTTACTGATAGGTTCATGTTCGGGAGACAAAGGCAATGTCTTAGAGTTTAAAATCAAGAAAGCCGGGCATGGTGGCCTGTAATCCCAGCACTTTGGGAGGCCAATGTGAGAGGATCTCTTGAGCTCAGGAGTTTGAGACCACCCTGGGCAACATGGTGAAACTCCATCTCTAAAAAACACTTTTTTTTTTTCTGAGACGGAGTCCCGCTTTTGTTGCCCAGGCTGGAGTGCAATGGCACGATCTCAGCTCACTGCAACCTCTGATTCCTGGGGAGCTCCAGCGATTCTCCTGCTTCAGCCTCCTGAGTAGCTGGGATTACAAGTGCCCGCCACCATGCCGGGCTACCTTTTTGCATTTTTAGTAGAGATGGGTTACACCATGTTGGCCAGGCTGCTGTCAAACTCCTGATCTCAGGTGATCGGCCCATCTTGGCCTCCCAAACTGCTGGGATTACAGGCGTGAGCCACTCTACCTGGCCAAAAAATATACATATATTTTTAAGTTAACTGGGTGTGGTGGTGCACTCATGTGGTCTCAGCTACTCAGGAGGCTGAGATAGGTGATCACTTGAGCTGGGAGATGCAGAATGCAATGAGCTGTGATCATGCCACTGCATTCCAGCCTGACCAAAAGAGACTCTGACTCAAAAAACAAAAACCAAATAGCCAATAAACACAAAAAGGTGGTCTACTTCCCTGATCATCAGAGAAATACAAAAAAATAAAGCAAATTCTGAATAGTTGCTCAAAACAGTCTAGCAGTAGGTGGCTGTGCAGTAAGTCTTGGTGGTGATAAGATGTAAAGGAATGTGGTTTGAAGGTCAATTTTTGAAGTGAGGATCGTTTTAATTCACATGCTTCTTAGGTTTCACTACTGTAGGACTTAGTATTTTTCTGGGAAGTCCTCAAGTGCCACTGCTCACCAGGCAACCATGTGCAACGCTCAGGTAAAAATACATGTACAGGCTGAGTGCAGTGGCTCACGCCTGTAATCCCAGCACTTTGGGAGGCCGAGGTGGGAGAATAGCTTGAGCTCAGGAGTTTGAGACCAGCCTGGACAACACACGGAGACCCACATCTCTATTAAAAAATGTAAAAATTAGCCAGGTATGGGAGCACGCGCCTGTGGTCTCTCAGCTATTCTGGAAGCTGACGTGGGAAGATCACTTGAGCCTGGAGGTCAAGGCTGCAGTGAGCTGTGATCATGCCACTCCACTCCAACCTGGGCAACAGAGCAAGACCCGTCTCAAAAATAAATAAAATTGTGTGTATCGAGGCTAGTAGGTTTATCTTGATTATAGTTCATAAATAACTGAATATGGTATGAGCATTATGATGACTAGGTGCAAATTAAAAATCTCAGTAGTTTTACCTTTGCTCTCCACAGGTTTTCTTTAAACAATTTAAAGAGAATATATAACTTTAAAAAAATGACAGAAGTGGGCTGGTGGCTCATGGTGGCTCACGCCTATAATCCTAGCACTTTGGGAGGCCGAGGCGGATCACCTGTGGTCGGGAGTTTGAGACCAGCCTGCTCAACATGGAGAAACCTCTTCGACTAAAAATATAAAATTAGCTGGCCATGGTGGCACAAGCCTGTAATCCCAGCTACTGGGGAGGCTGAGGCGGGAGAATCGCTTGAACCCGCAGGTGGAGGTTCCGGTGAGACAAGATCGGACCATTGCACTCGTCTGGGCAGCAACAAGAACGAAACTGTCTCAAAAAAAAAAAACGAAAACAAAAATGACAAAAGTGAAAGCTACAAGAATTACACTGCAACTGATTTTATACTCACAGTCTAAGTCAAACTGAAGTTCTGAATGAACTCTTCCCAATCTATTTGATTTCTTAAAGGAATTTAGTAAAAAATAAGGACAGGAACTAAAAGGTAAAATTCATCTTTAAAACAGTAATTTATTTCACACCTGTAATTCCATTACTTTGGGAGGGCGAGGCAAGCAAATCACGAGGTCAGGAGTTGGAGACCAGCTTGACCAACATGGTGAAACCCTGTCTGTAATAAAAAATACAATAAGTAGCCAGGTGTGGTGGTGTGCACCTGCAACCCCAGCTATTCAGAAGGCTGAGACAGGAGAATCGCTTGAACCCAGGAGGCAGAGGTTGTAGTGAGCCGAGTTCACCCCACGGCACTCAAGCCTGGGTGACAGAGTGAGACTCTTGTCTTAAAAAAAGAAAAAAAAAAGTAATTTATCAACTTTTAAACTAAGAGAAAGCTACCAGACTGGCTTTTATGTAATAATAAAAACAAGTATCACTTGTCAGCATCTATTTTTTTTTTTTTTTGAGACGGAGTTTCACGCATGTTACCCAGGCTGGAGTGCAATGGCGCAATCTTGGCTCACCGCAACCTCCGCCTCCTGGGTTCAGGCAATTCTCCTGCCTCAACCTCCTGAGTAGCTGGGATTACAGGCATGCACCACCATGCCCAGCTAATTTTTTGTATTTTTAGTAGAGACGGGGTTTCACCATGTTGACCAGGATGGTCTCGATCTCTTGACCTCGTGATCCACTCACCTCGGCCTCCCAAAGTGCTGGGATTACGGGCTTGAGCCACTGCGCCCGGCCCATCAGCATCTATTTTTAAAAGTGAAATACTTATCAAAACTACATGCAAAAAGTATTTGCATTAAAAGTTGCCAGCTCAATCATGGAAAATCTTTTATAAGGCTCCTTAAAGTTTCACTTTTTTACTAAAATTAGATTATAAGAATGTGTAAAGTCCATTTTTAAACTATTAATACTTTGCTTTTTTTTGGAGACCAGGTTTCACTCTGCTGCCCAGGCTGGACTGCAGTGATGTGATCTCAGTTCACTGCAGCCTCAACTTTCCAGGCTCAAATGATCGTCCCACCTCAGCCTCCCAAGAAGTTGAGAATTCAGGCACATGCCACCATGCCTGGCTAATTTTCGTATTTTTTGTAGGGACAGGGTCTTGGCAGGTTGCCCAGACTGGTCTGTGAGTTCAAGTGATCCTCCCACCTCAGTCTCTTAAGGTATTGGGATTACAGAGGTGTGTCAAAGCAGCTTCGCCCTAATTAATTAGTACATTTTAATCAATGATTAGACTATGTTGCATTTTAAATTCAGTTTCAAAAAAATGATTCAGACACGTTATACATAAGGACAATTTTAATCCTGCATTTTCCTGTAGTAACATCCACTGCTGGCTATCTACAGATTGAAACTGCATTTGCTAAGAACTGTGAACATAAAGAAACTTTACACGAAGTCACATGTTGATACAGCACACAGACATCTTCCAGCACCAACAGAATACATACGTAACACATACCAGATAGTCTCAATGGATAAATTTGCTTCACCAGTTCTATTTAGTAAAATTCACAGTTAATGCAGAATTTCATTTTTCAATTTTACATCTTTATTACACGTTTTCTAATACTTTATTTAAAAAAAAACTCATTCAAGATTGTAATTTGCATGGCAATAAACAATGGTTTCATGGGTTCTAAGTTTCTTAAAAGTGTCTACAGGAATTTAAAACACCACAAGTCTTCTTTCCAATTTGCAGCACCTGACTTAAAATTTAAATTCATCCAATGCATCAAAACTGTCATTTTTCTCTTGTGAGAAGACACGTTTCAATTGCTATTTCCAGGATGATATACTGAACATGGGTGCACATTTTTAATTGGTTAGCAGAATTTTACTCACACAATTTACAGCCAGAATAAGAACCTCTAGCCTCTCTGAATGGCCTTCCACTCACAGCAATAATGATGATAAAAGTCTAAAATTATGATGATAAATTTCTAAAATAAATGTCTGGGATGCCCCCACTTGATATTACCAAACATGTTTCCAAGTAATCTTAGAAAATATGATTCTTTAAACATATGCATAATATTCTACCACACAATGCACCATCACTTCTTTAACCATTTTCCAATTGTTAATTTATAACATTTGCAATTTTTTATTATGAATAATATTGTGATGAATACTTTCATCCATAAATTTTATGCAAGGCTGATTATTTCTTCTAATGTCTTCTAATATCGAAGAAGTGGCTTACTGGTTCAAACAGTGCACATACATGGTTTTAAGGCTTTTAGTATACTTTACCAAATAAATCTCCAGAATAGCTCGAACAATTCCTACCAACAGTATGTTATTGTGCCCATAGGGTGGACTTTGTAACAACAAAGCAAATTCAACCACAAACCTATTAGATTCTCACACATCTCAAAACTATCACATCAAAGAAGCAAAGAAACATATTATTGGTGAGGAAGCCAAATTCAAACTCTTTTTAAAAAATCACTCAGCTTTAGATCAGTAAAATAATCAACAAAAATGCTCCCCACAAAAAGTCTACTGGGTTTTTCAAAAAACAAAGTTAAAAAGAGATAAAGAGAAAGTCAGGCTGGGCACTGTGGCTCACACTCAGCACTTTGGGAGGCCAAGGTGGGCAAATCACAAGGTCAGGAGTTTGAGATCAGCCTGGCCAACACGGTGAAACCCCGTCTCTACTAAAAATACAAAAAATTAGCCAGGCGTGGTGGTGGTGGGTGCCTGTAATCCCAGCTACTTGGGAGGCGGGGGCAGGAGGATCGCTTGAACCCGGGAGGCGGAGGTTGCAGTGAGCCAAGATCC